GCATGGGGAAACTTTTGAAAAAACACAACCTACAAACAGTATTGAAGCCCACCACAAAAATACAACAAATGTTATGGTCAGAAAAGGACAGAAGGGACCCCCTCACCACTGCAGGAGTATACCGGATACCTTGCAGTTGTGGCCAGGTATATATAGGAACCACAAAACGAAGCATCCACACCAGAATCAAAGAACATGAGAGATGCTGCAGACTAAAATAACCAGAAAAATCTGCAGTAGCTGAACATGCCCTAAAACAAACTGGACATGAAATTCTATTTCAAAATACCGAAATACTGGACAACACCAGCAATCATTACGTCAGACTGCACAGGGAAGCCATTGAAATCCACAAGCACCAGCAGAACTTCAACAAAAAAGAGGAAAGTTTGAAACTCAACAAAACTTGGCTCCCAGCTCTCAAAAATACAGCGTGCAAAAGGTCAATGAATTCTACCCAGCCACAAGGACCGGGGATCACTACACACAAAAGACGACCTAATGACACCCATCAACCACAGTGACAGATAATCTCTCCTTCTTATCACAACAATACAACCACAACAAGACACACTAATCACCCATCTACAGAAAAAGACAAAAGCCCATCTCACAGCCACAAATACTATACTCCACTCCCAAGCCAAGTACACCAGAGCACAGAGTACTGTCCTCTGAAGATGCCGGCCACAGAGACTGGCAAAATGTTAGGAAGAACAAACTTCAGAACATGGCCAAAGAGCCTGAAAAACCCACAACAAGCATTAGATCCTGACCGTGAAAGCCTTCACGAGTACATTTATTTTTGAACCTTTAAGTCAAAATACCAAAGGACATCCAGGAATGAAGAAGTAGTTAAATATAAACAAGGTACAATATCTTCTGAGACCACAATCAGTTTCATCGTCAGATGTGTATAAGTCACAAATGTACAAGTCACTCATAAGGAATCTACAGAGGACATAATAGAGGCCCTGTGAGGACATTCAGATATTCCTACATGGAATATGACACATTTTACTTTTGTAAATATGCTGTTTCCACCCAGAGTGCCTCCACATCGGAAGGGGACTTGATGCATCCCACAAAGAATCTGCAATGGGATAATGCCAACTGAAAGCCTTTTTCTGCTCCACAATTATCACACACATAATGCGCACATGCTAGAGTGTGGTCATGGAATCTCATCCTTCCCTGCTGAAAGAGATCCTGTAATCTGATGATTCAACCTGACACAGGGTACAGTTCAACAGCATTAAACTCTTAATACAGTGGTGCCCCACATTACGACGACCCCGCTTGATGACAAAATCTCTTGATGACGACTTTTTTACATTTGCTATAGTGATCACAAAACGATGGTTCCAATGGGACTTTTTCGCTGTACGATGATCAGGTCCCTGCTTTGGGAACCGATTGTTCCCTAGACAATGATTAAAAACAGCTGATCAGCGGTTGGCAAAATGGCTCCCCGCTGTTTTGCTGACCTCCTCTCTTCCCCCCCGCCCCTCCGCTTCCATCTTGTGGGCAGAGCTGCCAGAGAGGTAGAGGAGGCAACACGTTCGGCTGTGAGCGAGTGGCGGGGCTTGCTTTGGGCTCGGCTGAAGGAACTTGCTTTGGAAAGTGGATGGTGCGTGTGCACACTAGCGAGCAAGCACAAGAGGAGGGGAGGGGAGCGAGCACATCAGCTGAAGAATGCGAGCGCGGGAGAGCAAGCGAGCGATGAGAGAGTGAGCCATGGCCAGGAGTTCTGTGACTGACTGACTGACAATAGGAAATAGCGAGTGCTTCAGAGTCAGGAGAGGAAGGCCGCCGCCAAGCCCAAGCTCAGCCGCCTCAGCCATCGTTTCCTCCTCCTCCTCCTCCTCACCACACCCAGCTGGCAGCCCAGGCCCCACTTGCTTGCTTGCTTCCTTGCTCGCTTGCTGGCTCGGCGCCCCTCCTTCGCCAAGGCCGACTTGCAGGGAATGTGAGAGAAGGCAGCCGTGCCAGGAGGCAGAGGAGGAGGCAGCAACAGCGGTGGTGGTGGCAGCAGAGGCCTCTCTCACCGGGCAGCACCCGTGTCTTTGGGGCGGGAGGGTGGTGGCAGGAGAGGGGGTCAGCGGAGGCTTGCATGGAACCAAAGGGAGGCTCCGCTTGATGCCGCGGCCGCCGGCGCCGTTGCCCTGCATTGGGGGGGAGGCCTTGAGTTTGCAAGTAGGGATATGTCCTCAGCACCAACCACTCCTCCATCAGTGGATAAAGTAGATGGATGTTCTCGGACGTCCATCAGAAAAGCCAGGCAGAAGAGGTCACAAAGTTCCTCCCAGTTTCGGTCTCATCTATAGAGGAACCTGAGTGGTTCCTAAAGAAACTTCAGCAGTGCTGTGTCATTTTTGACACGCTTTCAGATGTTAAAATGAAAGAATACAAGCGCTCAACTCTTAATGAACTTGTATTGCTGACCTATTTTTGCAAGACAGGGATCGCAAAATGGCCACCCTATGGAAGATCTTCACAGGACGATCAGGTATTTCCCCCATTGGAATCATTGACCGGTTTTCAATGCATTCCATTAGGGTTTTTTTTCCGCATGATGATGATTTTGCTGTACAGCGATTTTGCTGGAACGGATTATTGTCGTCATGTGGGGCATCACTGTAATCCCCATACAGTTGTCAGGAGCAGCAGGGCAATCTTGGATGGAAACTCTGGCTTTTAACAGGACTGTCCCCCTTCGCTGTGTCTTCAAGAGCCTTGCATTTCACTTACAGAAATATTATCATAACAGACTCCATTTAGAGTAAAAAAGAGGCTGTAAGATTTGAGGTATGGTAGCTGTTTCAATAGGAGCAAACTAGAATGACGGTTTCTAAGTTTACCATTACCAAGAAACTGGAAATCACAGCCAGAGACTCAAACCCAAAATTAGCTTGGAAGGAACTATAGCTGAATATCATAGGCAATCTAGAGATGCTTCCAGACCAGTACTTTCTGCCTTTTGACATGCAGGAAACTGAAATACTGCCAACATTCAACTTCCTTCTTGAAAAAAGTTACTCCAGGCAGGCAGCATTGGAAGCTGTTAATCCTAAGTATTAATTTATTTTTATTTTATTTTTTGCAAACTGTCTGCAGTTCTTAATGGCTCCCAGTTTCTACTACCCACTGCAGCCCTGATGTCATTTTTTAAACTCCATCCCATAACATATTGCGTTATGGAACAAACATATAGAACAAATGAATATACAAACTGAGCATTCAAGGGAGGTCAGTGATTCCTTTTGCTGGTCACATAGGTTGTCCCAGATAATTAAAGGGCTCATAATAAAAGGTTCAGTGTAGAACTTACTGAATCTCTCATTATGAGTCCTGAAAAAAAATTACAAAGAGAGGCAATTTAGATCATGGTGGAGCTTTTCACAAAAATGCCTCCATTTTTTTTCAGAAGTAATTCATTGAGTTTATTTTCAAATAACTGCAGTTAGAAGGACTGCAGATTTAATTAGAAATCCAGCTGCATTAGCTGACATGATGGGTGCTCATCACTGTCTGAATGGAATATACTGAATCTCTTATACACCAAAAAACCCAGAGACTGCTTTCTAAACAACCTCCTTTTTTGCATGTCCCTTCCTTGTCATTTCTTTCCAGCTTTCCTCTTTCCCTGCTCCATTCTTACTATACCTCTCCTCACCTAAACTGGACTGATGGGAAACTACATGAGATAATTCAATATCCAAAACCTTGTGTCAACACTTTCCATTGCCTAAGAGTTCAATGCATGACATTTCAATCTGGGCAATTCCCTCCTTCCTTTCACCTGAACTCGGGTAGGATCCAGTCTGTGGTCCATGGTATCAGCAGTGACATTTTCAGGCAGTGTCACAGGATCTCTTGGAAGAATTAGACAAGAGGGTATGCATGTGGCACCTAAAGAAAAAAAGAAAAAAGAAAAAAAGCAGCAGATAGGCTTAATCCACTTGAAATCCACCAAGGTTTTTGGGCACCATGGAACAAGGCCCATCATGCTGCTTGCAACTGGAGCATTTAAAAGTCCACCATAGAGATCTTGCCTGTGAAATGACATCTTACAGAGTTGTTGCCAGTTGTGCATAAACACCATGCTCATAGAAAAGTGGTACATTCTAAACCATGCGACTACAGAAAAAGGATTAAAAACCATCATAGCTTTTTTTGCTATAATTTTCACAAAATATCATCCAGGAGATCGTGCCAGCTATCCCTTCCACAGCATCAACTGCAGGCAGCCCACATTCTCTAAACTCTTGGCTATCTCTTTTTTTCCTCCTATTTCTTTTATTTTTGTTTATTTTATTTTCTTACCATTACTCTCAAGAAACAAACATTTAAGCAAAAAGATCTGCAAAGGAAACCTTAAAGCCAAAGATGCCACTTGGCACAACTTGTATAGAAATCATTTTTAAAAACATTCAGTAGAAATGGCAACAAGAGGATCTATAAATTGAACTAATGCCACAGGTTGTGTAAATACACAGGATGGGAATCCTAAGCAAAATGCTGATGAATGAGGTTGGAATTTGAACTTCAGTTTTATTAGATTTATATACATATGACTGGATTTCTTACAGAACAATACAGAACAAGCTAGCCAAAATTAAGCTGTTTTAGGTCTTATTATTCTCAGAGGGAAAGAGTTAAGCATATGCTTAATTTTTCTACTGAAATTAGTTGGACTGCAAACATTTCATTTTGAATAGATTGTAGCTGTCAGTTGCTTGCTATATCCTTGACAGTGCATATATTAATGCCTCACATTTCAGCAGGAACCCTTTGCAATTCCCGTTGTGCACAAACCACAGAAAGCAACGGCTAACCATAATTATTGCCCTTCTGTCCAGAAAATTCCTTTAAAGATCACACAAAGTCAGCTTTGCAATGTTTTGCAATGTTTAAAGGTATGATATCTTATATTTCAAATATTGTTTAAAGTGTAAACAAGATATTAGGCTAACTAGGCATTTGCTGCTTTGCACTTAAACCTGTGGGCCAGCCACATTTGCCAGGTTTGAGCTTCAAAATGAACATCAATGGCTTGTGAAGATGGGCCCCACAACCAGAGGAGACCTTTACAAGCATCCATGTTCTTCAGTCTGGTGAAGACATCAACCCTGAGAAACACTAGTGGACCTTCTCTCTATCTTTGCCCATCCCCAATCCTAACCACCATTACCAGTCTATTGACCAGTATTTTCACTCCCTGCATCTAAAGAGCAGATTTTGATGCACAAAAGCTCACACAGAAATAAATCTCTTAAAGTGCTGCAGTATTGCTTCCCCCGTTTCTACATCCTTCATTTTTGCCATCTACAAACTTACTTCTTCCTTTGACAGAACCAATAAAGGTTTCCCCTTGACATTTAGTCCAATCATGTCCAACTCTAGGGAGCGGTGCTCATCCCCGTTTCCAAGCGATAGTGCCAGTGTTTGTCTGTAGACAGTTTCTGTGGTCACATGGCCAGCATGACTAGACACGGAACGCTGTTTCCTTCCAACCGTGGTGGTACCTATTTATCTACTCGCATTTTACATGCTTTCAAACTGCTAGGTTGGGAGGAGCTGGGACAAGCGATGAGCGCTCACTCCATCTCATGGCTTTGATCTTATGACTGCAGCACAGAGGCGTCTGCGGTTTAACCCGCAACACCACCATGTCCCTTCACAGAAACAATATTTACTGTGCAAAAAAAGTGCTATTAGGGTGCAAATGAACATAATTTCATTCAACCACTTTTGAGATTTGCCTCCTTGTTTCTCTGGTTAGTCTTTTTCCTGCAAATCACTAACTCTCATCCTGTTCTATCCTATTAGATTCTTAGAAAATAAAAATGGGAGAACCCCATATATTCCCCCTAAGGCTTTTTAAAAAAACGAATTGATGGGACATACATGCAATTAATAACTTATACGATCTGTCGTACTGATCTCTATATTCTTTCTACGTATGGAGGCAGAAAGCCTGCGATGCAACTCAAGGCTGCCAAGTGTGCACCAGTCTTCAGGAAGAAATTCAGGGAGATACTGTACAGGATGATCCTGTAATTTTCCTCACCAGCTGCCTCTCACCAGAGGAAAATACAGGTATGTGGTGGTGTCCCTTTTAAAGATAGTGTTACCAACTGGGATACATGAGCAGGGCTATTTGTATGCTGTCATTCTTAGGCAGTACAGGAGATATGGTTGCAGAATTCAATTTTCTGAGGACAGAAAAAAAAGGTTATGCATGGCCCATCCTCAGAACTGAAACATATGGGAGATGTGACCAAGGCATAATTCATGTTTAAGAAATCACATTTCAGAGGAGGTCTTGAAGACTAATCACAAAAGGAAACAAACTAATTTGCAGGTTACATAAGTTATAAGAAAAGCAAGCTCTTGCCTTGCACTCAGATTCTTTCAGCAGCTAAGGTAGCTTCTAATCACTGGCTATCTGCAATTTTGATTGTACTTCAAAATCCTCTTTTTAAACACAAGATAGGTTTGTAGCCTTTATGTTCAAAACATATGATTGGAAGTGTGGACTTGCTGAAGTTTCCAAAGCCAGACAATTTGATGAACACAACTGATGTTATTCAACAAGAGGTTTCAGTACACTGTGTAGCTCCTTGTCCTTCACCAATGTCAAACAAAATCATAACAAATAATACAAAACTCTGCAAAAGGCTGAAATACCACTACATGAAATTTGCAAATATGCCAAAGATTAATATTAAGTATGGAATTCAACTTTTCTTGATACACACTTGGAATTGTCTTGGCAAAATATTTCTCTTTGAAAAGCAGCCCTAAACCTTTTTAATTTTTCATATGCTGAGAAATAGAATTGTTCCTGCTCCCCTTCTAATGCTCCGGTGTGTCCTTTTCTCAGATTTACATTGTCTTTTAACACTCCTCCTTTCAACATCAGTTCCCTTTCCAAAAATGTATCTCCTTCCTTCTTGCACTTTTCATTCTTCCAGGTATCCAGAGAAAACAGGAGCCCCAAATAGTCCCAAATGTTCTTCAGTCTTTTGCCTGTTTAAGATGCCTAGCTCCAAGCCATTTATACCTGTTTTTTCTATTGAAAGAGATAAACTACGAAGATTCACAGCACACCGTTGACATTTCTGTAGTCACTGCTTGTTTGTGGCAATGCTCCACAGGTTTCAGTGACAGCAAAAAACAAAGGAAAAAGAAACGTTAAAATCAGGAATGGGTAACATTGGGCCCAGGAGCCATAATCAACCCTGGTTATTGTAACTCCCCAGGATCCCCATCCCAACTCCCAATTTTTTGTGTATTTGTTCAAACCCCTTTGTGCTTTCTAGAGGGTGGAGGAAGAAATTATGCCTTTTCTGAGGGCCTCAGTCCCTTGGGACTCTGCCTTATTTCATTTTTCAATTTTTAAAACATATTTTGGCCCCTGGGATGCAAGAGCACTATGCAGTTAAAAAGAATTTTTATTTAAACCAAATTTTCTGATATCAAAAACTCATGCTAATAACGTTTACAGTATATAATCACAGTTCTAAAATGTAAATAATGAAAATAATATGTGCTAACTAGGGTGTCTAGCTCCAAATCTACCCCCATACCTGGGAAGGCTGTCCTGAAGTTGTCAGCAAATCCAAAAAATGACCCTTGGTCCTGTTAATATCATGCACATTTAATTTAAATAATCATTGCTGACTCATCAACTCCGTTCTAAAATTTTGGAGAAAACAGCAAACTCAGTTGAGAGGGGAGAGTCTTTTCCTAAGTATCAGAACAAGGTAAGGAGGAGGAACAAAAGGAGAGGGGATGATCAGAAATTGAAATTCTTACCAATTCCATAACCTTGCTCACACTTGTACTCCACTGAGTTATGTTCTTGGGGTGGTAAACATTCCCCTTGCAGTTCTTCACACAATTTAAACTCCTCTGACCACAAACCATCTTTAGTGCAAAGTACAGGGAACTAAAGCATAAAAGAGAACATTTTAGGAAAAGCAAGAGGTCAAAGGCCAGATCCACCAGAGGCAAAGCCATCCCACATTCAGTTCTAAAGTACAGATTTCAATAAATCGACCCCAACATTTTCCTGTGATTTTCGAGGTGTCTGTATATTGACTGGTTTTAGCGGGTATGGGGGATGAAATACTCTGCACTAATTTAAAATCTTGAAATGGGAGGAAAAACTCCCTGTTATTAGAACTGCTAGCTAACCAATTTTCAGCCTTTTTTGTAAGAGGAATACAACCATCTCTGCATGGGTACTTATCTTTTTGTATTCTACATTTTCCAGTTCATACTCTGGTCCAAACTTTATTTCTCATTAGTAATTAGTTACAGAACCAAAGACAATAAGTAATCTAAATAAATGAATGAGTAGCACAGTAATGTGTTTTTAATATATTATGATGTTAGAGAGGAGAAGTAAAATAAAGTGTATTTCTCCCCTTCCCATTACTGCAGAGGCACAGTGTATGATAAAATAAAACCAAGGCAAGTGCAGATAGCCAAAACATTGCAGAATTGAAGTACAAATTCTAAGATACGTCTGGATCCTCCCTCCCACAGAAATCTGAGAGGCTATCAGTTATTTGGAAATGGGCCATATGACCAAGTGCTCCTTACCTTCTTATTCTGTGGGCCGCAACTAAGAACACACTGGCTGTCAAACTCAAATCCATTGGTGCAATTGTACATTCCCTCAAACACTGGTGGGGGTGGCTTACACACCACAGGAACACAGCTGCCTTCTTCCCAGAAGCCACTTTCAAGACATTGAATGCTTAACAGCTTACTGGATAGTGGGAAAAGATGAAAAAACAATAACTGATTACTTGGATGCAAACCTACTTAAAGAAGACCTCCAAGGGATGAAGAAATAATTGTCATAATGAAGAGCATTTTGTAAGAGCAGCCATGGTGCAATCCTGTCCTACATAGTAGAGAATTTTCCAGGCACCCAGAGATTCTAGCTGCTTCTGGCTTTCGGGCAGCACAAGGACTATTTACTGCTAAAACTATCTTCTCTCAGAGACTCCTGTCTAGACAAGAACTCACTTCAGGAAGATGGGTTGCCATGGGCTGGCTCAGTTACTACTCCAGCTCAGGACGATCAGTTCCTGGCTCACTCTTCAATTGTTCTGGAGGGTCTACCTGGCCATGATTATTCCCAGATGAGACTATCTCACTGCATTTATTTAAAACAATTTTATCCCACCTTTCTGTAAGCATGGATCTGTTGCTCAGGGCACAACTCCCTGTACACACCTTCTTCATATTTTCAATTAATAAACTATTCCATAACACAAATGATGGGATGTGTGTGGAAGTACCCTAGTGCTGAGGAGCATTTTCCTCCTGAGGCTCCAGCTGCATTTTGCAGGAGGACAACTGTTGTCAGTCCAGTAGCACCAATTAATGAACTAATATGGTTACTAAATTACACAGAAACAAAGTGCACATAATTTTATGAACTTTAGTCCAGGTACATGACTGCACTTTTAAAATACCCATCATAACACAGTAACAGGATAAGGACAGAATTGCAGGATAAATGAATGAGGCTGTATCCCAGAAGTGAGAAAAAGAGAATGAGAAAGATGAGACAGCAATGAACCATGAGTGGCTGCTTAGCGATGCTTCAGGATTTGGAAAGAAAAGTGGTGGGGGAAGAGGCAGTAGTATTAACCATGGACTCAAGCATAAAAATCTAAGCTTCTACCTTGCTTTTTGGGGGCCAAGACACAATTGCTGCCTCAGAGAATATGATCACCATGTACATGCTTCAGCCATCTCCTATATTTTCAGATGCATTTGCTCATCACTCATGAATGGGTCGTCTTGCATTAGTAGCATTGTACATTGTTGCTCAGTTCCTTCAAGCTGAGTGATCAGTGGCTGTATTTGGAAGTGACTAAGACTCACACACATCCATAGCATCTTCCTCCTTCTTTTTGCTCTTTTTGACTGCCTCCTCTAGAGTCACACATTGCTGCCCCTATATCTCAGTGAACGTAGACAGCCAATAACTTCCCTACCCTTCCTGCCTCTCTACTTTATCGAGTTCACAAGCCAGTTTACAAGCAGCTACATTTGGAGAAGACCAGGAAGGGGCATGAAAGTTCTCTCTGGCCTATGTTGTATACTTAAGCTTGTTAGAATGCAGCTTACATTTGATAGCATGGATCACAGAATTTGGATTAATTTTTTTACCTGTATTTCCAACAAAAGACCTATAATGATGACACTGCAGAAAAGGGCAATAAAAAGCCACATTTGAAGCAATAGGTATTGCTGCCCCCTAGAAAACCAGCAAAACTAGACTCATTCATTTATAATAATCTTAGAACTGCAGAGCTGGAAGGGACCCTATGGATCACTGAGTCCAGCCCCTGTCAGGGAGGCACAGCAGGAAATCAAACTCCTAACCTCGGGCTACACTACCAGCTACCTAAACCACTGAGCTATCAGGCAGTTAAAAGTAGTAATTTTAAAAAAAAGCAGAATTAGGCAAAGTACCTGTGACGTTCCTCTTTCACATCACAATGGTCAGGACACTCTCTCATTCACACTTTATTTACGCTGCCACCAACCACTCCTTCATAAGACTCTTCAGACAAATGTATGATTTTAAAATAAAAACTTAAGTTTATTGATAATAACAAAAGGAATGGTAAATCACTATAATAATTAAAATAAAAAGGCAATCAGTAATAATAAAGTATCCCCTCATACACACTATCACTCAGACCTTAACTCTTCATAACTCTTGACTAACTAAAAACTGTCTCACATCATTCACTCCCCCCCTTATATACACAGCTCCACCTCCTGGAGTCCCACCTCCTGCTCTGCTATAGGCAGATGGGTTCCAGCATAACCATGATAGGCAGGTGACGTCATCGCAGCCGTCACAGTACCATAAAAGTCTGCAAGGTTACTGACCTGCTTGAGTTTTGTGCTCCTGCAGTTATCGTATTTTGACATGAAAACTATTGCCCTTCGTAGCCTTCCCTTTAATGCCCCCTCCTCTGATCAAATCTGCCTGAAAACATTACTGTTCTCCTTTCTTGATCATACTAAGCTGTCATGAGTGACAAAACCAGGCTGGATTCCATGGAATTTTTTGCTTGGGGACTCCTCAGACCTACTCTGTTTTGCAAGTATTAGCAAATGAACAAAAAATCCCTTGAGTTCTTTGTGGGCCAGATGGTCTAAAAAATAAAGTAGAGTATATTTAGAAATTCAATGTGGTGAAATGTTTTAGCCAAAAGATCTACAATAAAACTAAGGTCCTAAATGGAAAATGTAGGTTTGATTATTTACTGTTGGTGTGCACACATCAGATTACACTGAGATGGGAGAAAATGGTTAACCCCCATTTCTGAAAACACCATTTGATTGTAGTCCAGGGATCAGCCTTTCATGCTTATTATGTATGGCAGCCAAATGGAACCTTCGTCTTTGAAAGCACTAAAGTGGAACAAGGGCAAAGAACTTTAGAGGGGTTGGTGGCTGAATTCCCTGCCTCATTTTTTCTCATGAACTGATAACTTCAATATGCCAGGTGAACTCCTTCAAATACTGCCATATCTGGGGAACTGGGTTTGGTTCACATAGGAGCTCCTCAGCAGAACAAAGGAAATTTCCTGACTGAGGTGCTAACTGCTGAAAAAGTCCCAAAAAATCTGGCTAGCACAGCTAGTGGTAAGGGCTTCTGGGAGTTTCAGTCCAAGATCATCTGTGGACCCAAGGTTGGGACCCACTGTTCCAAAGCCTACACACCCAGAGCTTTTTCATCCTCCCGCCTACTATATGTGCCCTTCCTCACCTGAAACCTGACCTCTCAACTGCAAAGTCACCAGGAAGAAATATGACTAGCAAGGAGGCAGGAAGGTTTTGCAGATGCACAGACTGATCACTTGAAGAAACACAGTTTCAGATGAATAACCTGTCATTCTTCATGGTATTCTATGGTTCGCACATCTGGGTGACTAGAAAACACCTATACTGGAAGTTGGGAGTCACGATATCAAAGAAGACAATGCGATTCTGCCAAAAGAAACATCCCTCTGGGTGTCAAAGTCCAGCCTGTAGTGCTTAACAAATGTCATGGGCTGACACCAGGTAACTGCTTTACAGGTATCATGTAATAATAAAGGTCTTTTGACCAAAGATATTTCAATCTCTAAAGAAGTTAAACAAGGCGGCGCCCTTCTTCCTGCTCTTTTTAATTCATTCATGTCAGATCTACCAGATCATATTGTCATAATTGAACATCATGCTTCTAGGATGAACTCTTCTTCTGTTCCATTGCTAAAGTATGCCGACAATACTGCTCTCTTATCTACCACTAAGTCAGGCCTTATACAATTGCTCTCAGCTTTTGCTGATTTCTGCTCCAAGAATGATCTAACCATCAACATTGATAAATCAAAGATCTTGGTATTCTCCAAATCTTGGAAACCTACCGGCTGGAAAATAAATGGGAAGCCAATAGAACAAGTGAAATCTTTTTGATATTTAGGCTTATTGTTTATTTACAAATTAAATTGGTCTTACCATCATAAGGTGGTGGTTTCTTTGGCTATGAATCAACTTAGTCCGCTTCCATCTCCATAGTAGGCATCAATATGTCCCTGCTGTTCTCCAAGTTTTCTTGGCAAAAATCACTAATCACTCTTAGGGTCTGTTTGGATTACGGTGGCCAACTGTGCGATAGACTGCATAACTGCCCTCTTTGTGTGCAAGATCTTAGGCATCCCGAATACGATTAGACTTGCAACATTATTAAATGAACTTGAGCTTCATTTTCCAACTACCCTTGCCTGGTTATCCACTATTAAATTTTGGCTTCATTTACACTTTCAGAAATCTTTCCAATCCCTTTTGATTGATTTATCAAGTGATCCTTTTATCTCCACATGGTGCTCTTTTATAACTCTAAAATCACTTCCATAGGTATTAACCTGAACTCCCTGACAAATTGTGGAGAAACTCAACTTTACCATATTATCCACCAAAGAATTTGGGACATTGAACTTCAGACTCTGGCAGCTGATTTGAATTTAATTTGGTCTCCTTGTTTTTATGGTTTGCCCCCTTTGTCTGTAACTGGTGCCAATTATTTCACGAATCTCATTAACCCACTGTGGCGCTGGGCAGTTATGCTGGCCAGATTTAATATATTTCCCCCAGCTTTTCTTTCCAGCAGATATCATAGCATCCCCTTTAAGAACCGCCAGTGTAAGCACTGCTTAGCGGAACCGGAGTCAGTTTTACATATTCTTCTTCACTGCTCTAAATTTAGTGAACTCCATTAATTACTATTAACGCCCTGGATACATTCCAGTTGGGCTTCAGGCCGCGCCACAGTACGGAAACAGCATTGGTCGCCCTGTTTGATGACCTGCTGAGGGAGGCTGATGGGCAAAATGTCTTTGCTGGTCCTCCTTGATATCTCAGGCGCCTTCGATACTGTCAATCATGGTATTCTCCTGGGGAGGCTCTCCGAGCTAGGAATTGGTGGTCTGGTGTCTGCCTGGCTCTGATCCTTCTTGGAGGACTGTCCTCAGAGAGTACAGCTTGGGGAGAGCATTTTGGCCCGTAGAACCTCAATTGTGGGGTTCTGCGGGGCTTGATTATCTCCCCAATGCTGTTTAATATCCATGAGGCTGCTGGGTGGGGTCATCAGGGGGTGTGTGGGGCTTTGTGCCATCCGTACACTGATGACACCCAGCTCTACATCTCCTTTTCTCCAACCACAGTGGATGCCATTCCGTCCCTTCAGCGCTG